GGGCGCCCGCCGTGGCGTGTTCCGACGGGGAGGTCTGACGGCACACCGGCTGCGGTTCCGGGACAGCCCGCCCTGGACTTGACGTCCATTCCTTTCCTTACAGGGACACTGCCATGGAGGTCCTGGCCCGTCCAGCATCTGCTGCTCAGCATCTGCTACTCGGCGCCGCCAGCAGCGGCCCCTCCTGGCACCCAGGTCAAGGGCAGTGGGTGCCAGGGATCTCTGCTCCGAGAAGGGGCAATGGAGCTGTGTCCAGGGTTCCCGCTGACCCTCAGCCCCCTCCAGAGAAGCGTCTGTTGGAGGGAAGGACTGCTTTCAGTGGCAGGGGGACGCTTTCTGAGCCAGAGAAGGAAGAGGACACAGGGTCCCAGGTCAGTGTCCGTCCAGCCAGGCCGTGTCCTTGAGGCGCACCCAAGAACCTTTGCCTTTCCGCTGCTCCACCGCACAATGTGTTGTAGATGACCTGTTGTCCTCTTGGCTAGCCCACCTAGGCTGTTTGAACACTTCTTCCTGGTCCCGGAGCAGCCCCCCTCCGCCCTGCCCTGGGACCCTACATGAGCTTTCCGATGGCATGAGTGATCTGCAGCTCCGAACGCCTTTCATAGGAACAGTCAAGCCAGGAGGCGTTCATGCAGGTTCCTGTCACTCAGCGGTGGCCCCCGGGGGATCAGTGACAAAGCAGTCTTAACCACTTGTAATCCAGGAGGTTGTGGACCTGGGGGAGCCTCACCCACTCGGTGCTAGATAGAGCAGGACTTGAAATACAGCTATGGGCGGGCCAGGGGGCAGTCTCAGGCTGTCATCAACGCTGCCCGAGTCCATCCCTGCTGGGAGTGACCCCAAGGCACAGCAGACCCCCGTCTCCCAGTTGCTCCCTCAGCAGTTTCAGGGGTCCACCTGTTCTGCCCTCAACTCTGTCTGTGGGGAGCTCGCTCAGCCCCACACCTCTGGCCTGTACCCTGGCTCCTGTGTATGTAAATAGATAAACTATTAAGTAAAACACACCGACCTTCTCTATATGTGGGAGTGGTGTATGGTTTGAGGTTTACTTACAGCTCCTGTTCTCCGTCCCCAGTTCATATGCAACTGACCTTTGCTTTTCAGAGGCGGCCTCTGCTCAGCCAGGTCCCATCCGTGTGTGAAGCCGGCAGCCTGTGTGCGGAGCCCCGTGCCTCCCCACACATCTGTGACCGTCATGTTTCCCCCATTTTCTTAGTAGTGACTGTGGGGTGTAGCTGGGTGTCACAAATAACCACCACACTCACGTGTCCTCCCTGAGCTGTGGTGACTGTTGTGTTGGAAAGCAAGTGGAGGCATCGGCTCTTGGAGGGGAGGTTCTGGGCCAGTAGGATTGGTTTTGTTCAGGTCATCTCAGACACTTTATGCTTTATGACTTTTTGTAACTCTGCGAAAAGGAAACTATGAGTTTCCTAGTTTACTAGTGTTTACTAGTGTCTTAAATTCAGAAATACAATTCAGTGACTTGTACGTGAATCAACAGTTTAAGGAAATACAAGACTTATATACAGTAATTTATTTTAGTTGTCACTTTTCTGTTTTTGGTATAGCATGTATGACTAAAAAGTAGCATCCATAAGTGTATTTATGATTCATGCAATTGAAATATTTCCTGACTCCAGTGACCGTGAAAATACTCTACTCTTCATTTTAACACGTGCTTAATTTTTTTTTCATTTTTTAAAAAGATTTATTTGTTTATGCACACAGAACTGGGGTACAGGCCAGAGGTGCAAGGGCAGTGAGAGGCTTCGCCAGAGACAGTGAGGAGCAGAACAGCTCAACTGATGAAGTGCACTGCTGAGGGGAGCAACGGGTGGGCAGGAGAGGTCTGCCACGCCATGTGGGTCACCTCCGGGGCGGGGATCAAACTTGTGCTGAGGTGGCTTTAGCTTCTTATTGCTGTGCCTTAACCTGCTGCGCCACCAGGGAGGGCCCACGTGCATAGTTTTTAATGTATAAAATGTGAAAAGTATTGGATAAGTTCTGTGCTGGTTAGTCTATCAATCATTTAAGAAACCTGAGATGTACATTCTTTAAGATTGTCTTCAAAATGGAACTGCCACCTCACGTGAGTCGTAAGTCAGATGAACTGAGTTACAGCTCAGTCTCTTGCATTTTTAGTTTAGTATTCTGGAAATGAGGAATTTATAGTAGTGTTTCTCTCAAAGGTTTTTTGCATTACTTTCTAAAACTTGTAATAATATCCAGAAGATGTAGCAAATGGTCAAAGTGTGTCGCCACCACTGCTGATGCTCTCGGACGTGCATTTGTCACCAAGCTCTAGCCACCTCCCCCCTCCCGACATGTCACCTGCTCTCTTCAGCTCTGCGGTCTGCACTGTGGTCCAAAAGGTGTCCCTTATCCGCTGGGCCGCCTGCCAGATGACGAAGCCCACTCTGAGCCCTACATCAACTCCTGAGCCCTAGATCAGCGTTCGTGCCCTTGCCGGGACCTGCTTGTTTGCGTGAGCACGATTCCTTCTGATTCCTATGCTCTCCCACCTGCGGCATCCGCACAGCTCACACCACGACATAGAAAGGGCCCACACACGTCTGCAGGCCACTGTCACGAGTGTTGTCTTCCCTAGCGTCGCGGTGGACCGGCTCTGTGAATCCTCTGTCTTCTTGAGAGTTTTGGAAGCATTCCAGAATATAAATGCAGTTGAGTTACCTTACTGGACAATTTGCTGCTTGCCTAAGGCAGTTATGGTTTCTTAACGCTCTTTTCACGCGGGTGCAAGTTAGCAGCGCTGAAGTGGCCCCTTGGTGGATGTGATTTGTTTTCTTTTCTTTCAGGGATTGCTGACCTTCAGGGACGTGGCTGTAGATTTCTCCCTGGAGGAGTGGGGCTGCCTGGGCTGGCAGCAGGAGCTGTGCAGGGACGTGATTCTAGAGCCTCACAGGAACCTGGTCTCCTTGAGTCAGGACAGCGCCTCCTGCTCTGCCCTCAGTGCTGGCTGCATCGTTTGTAGCATGAGACTGGGACTTGTCATCACTTAATTTTAGATCTCTGTTAAAAATTAGTAATTTTGAATTTCTTAGTGTGTGAAGAAAATCTTCACAAGGTTTCCTTGTGCCCTGAGTATTCGCTTCCTTAAGTGATCTGTACTGTCCACTCTGGGTTAGTGGGAACTTCAGAAACTCAGTGATGTGTGATGTTATTGCTCATTACCTGTGTTTAAAGATTTCACCCTAGTTTTTGATTCAGTATTCCTGGAAAGTAGAGTCAGAACCTGCATGTTGAAAATCTTAAGTGATCAAAGGTGCTATTGGGGCCAGTTGGAAGCTATTTTCTAGAATATTCTGTGATTTTCTCTCATCTCCATTGACAACAGTACTTGCCGCGTCCGGCTAATCAGAGCCGAGTCCCGCGAGGGACAATGAGGTTAAAGAAGACACAGGACACCAAGGTTCTTCATCCAGGAGTCTCTCTTTATTGTCTGTGACCCCCCTTTATATATCATTAGGCAGCAAGGGTGGAAGTTTTGCGGGAAGAGTGGAAATTTACTGAGAAGGAGGTATGGGGGAAGTGAGGAATTTCTCTTATCACATGCCGCCCGGTAACTGCCAGATGTTAACACCCCCTTACAAGGCCTGGCGCCTCAGACTGATAAACAGGATTACCACAAGTCTGAGTCCACTTTATCGGTTCAACCATCTGTTGCCATGGTAGCACAGCGGTGGGGGCTCATTCCTCGGAGTCCCAAGAGCTGGGTGCAATTGCGCCACCAACATTTCCCCCGCTTTTATTTTGTGCCAAGGCAAATCATGCAGACCCTGTCTTAGGTCGTCCACTGCCCTCGGGCCGCTTACCCGTCATTGGGGGAGTTCTTTCCTCCTGGCTTGGGTCGCGGCGCGAGCGTGAAAGTTGCCCATCATTGGGTGCTGCAGGACCAGGGTATAGAACTTTCGACAAGGGGTACGCGACGTGGAAAACCCTAGATTAGTCTGACGCCAGGGATGTGGAAATCGGGAAGTTGTTATGGCGGGTGTGATAAAGAGAAGTAACAGAAGTGATAGTAAGGAAGGTGAAGAAAAATAGAAGGAGCGGAAGTGCAGTGAAGAGGAGGCATCATTTTCTGATCGGTCGGAGGTAGATTTCGGTGTGGCTTTCGTCTGCTTTTAAGTGTTGGTAATGAACCTGTATTGGCCGTGCAGAAGGAATGTCGTCAGCGGGGCCCAGCGCATGAGGCGTGACCTGGCATTCGCTTGAAGGGTTGGAAATATCAGCAACGGGATCAGCCACCGTTGGAGCTTCATTTTGTCTCGAGCTTTCTTCTACTGGTCTGGTACAGCGCTCCGGG